TGGGCACACTTGAGAAGAAAGTGTCATCTGCTGTTTTTGGATGGAATGTTCTATAAATATCAGTTAAATCTGTCTGGTCTATTGTGACATTTAAAGCTTCTGTTTCCTTATTTATTTTCATTTTGGATGACCTGTCCATTGGTGTAAGTGAGGTGTTAAAGTCCTCCATTATCTTTCTGTTACTGTCCATTTCCCCTTTTATATCTGTTAGCACTTGCCTTATGTATTGAGGTGCTCCTATGTTGGGTGCATATATATTTATAATTGTTACATCTTCTTGGATTGATCCCTTGATCATTATGTAATGTCCTTGTCTCTTGTAACATTCTTTATTTTAAAGTCTATTTTATCTGATGTGAGTACTGCTACTGCAGCTTTCTTTTGATTTCCATCTGCATGGAATATCTTTTTCCATCCTCTCACTGTCAGTCTGTATGTGTCCCTAGGTCTGAAGTGGGTCTCTTGTAGACAGCATATATACGGGTCTTGTTTTTGTATCCATTCAGCCAGTCTGTGCCTTTTGGTTGGAGCATTTAATCCATTCACTTTTAAGGTAATTATTGATATGTATGTTCCTATGACCATTTTCTTAATTGTTTTGGGTTTGTTTTTGTGGGCCCTTTTTTTCTCTTGCGTTTCCGACTTAGAGTTCCTTTAGCATTTGTTGTAGAGCTGGTTTGGTGGTGCTGAATTGTCTTAGCTTTTGCTTGTCTGTAAAGCTTTTGATTTCTCCATCGCATCTGAATGAGATCCTTGCCGGGTAGAGTAATCTTGGTTTTAAGTTCTTCCCTTTCATCACTTTAAGTATATCATGCCACTCCCTTCTGGCGTGTAGAGTTTCTGCTGAGAAATCAGCTGTTAACCTTATGGGAGTTCCCTTGTATGTTATTTTTCGTTTTTCCCTTGCTGCTTTCAATAATTTTTCTTTGTCTTTAATTTTTGCCAATTTGATTATTATGTGTCTTGGCGTGTTTCTCCTTGGGTTTATCCTGTATGGGGCTCTCTGTGCTTCCTGGACTTGGGTGGCTATTTCCTTTCCCGTGTTAGGGAAGTTTTTGACTATAATGTCTTCAAATATTTTGGCAGGTCCTTTCTCTCTCTCTTCTCCTTCTGGGACCCCTATAATGCAAATGTTGTTGCGTTTAATGTTGTCCCGGAGGTCTCTCAGGCTGTCTTCATTTCTTCTCATTCTTTTTTCTTTATTTTGTTCAGCAGCAGTGAATTCCACCATTCTGTCTTCCAGGTCACTTATCTGTTCTTCTGCCTCAGTTATTCTCCTATTGATTCCTTCTAGTGCAGTTTTCATTTCAGTTATTGTATTGTTCATCTCTGTTTGTTCTTTATTTCTTCTAGGTCTTTCTTAAACATTTCTTGCATCTTCTCGATCTTTGCCTTCATTCTTTTTCCAAGGTCCTGGATCATCTTCACTATCATTATTCTGAATTCTTATTCTGGAAGGTTGCCTATCTCCACTTAATTTAGTTGTTTTTCTGGGGTTTTTTCTTGTTCCTTCATCTGGTACATAGCCCTCTGCCTTTGCATCTTGTCTGTCTTTCTGTGAATGTGGTTTTTGTTCCACAGGCTGCAGGATTGTAGTTCTTCTTGCTTCTGCTGTCTGCCCTCTGGTGGATGAGGCTATGTAAGAGGCTTGTGCAAGTTTCCTGATTAGAGGGACTGGTGGTGGGTAGAGCTGGCTGTTGCTCTGGTGGGCAGAGCTCAGTAAAACTCCAATCTGCTTGTCTGCTGATGGGTGGGTCTGGGTTCCCTCCCTGTTTGACGTGAGGTGACCCAACACTGGAGCCTGCAGGCTTTTTGGTGGGACCCATGGCAGGCTCTGGGAGGGCTCAGGCCAGTGAGTACCTTCCAGAACTTCTGCCACCAGTGTCCCCCTCCCCACGGTGAGCCACAGCCACCCCCTGCCTCTGCAGGAGACCCTCCAACACCAGCAGGTAGATCTGGTTCAGTCTCCCCTGGGTTCACTGCTGCTTCCCCTGGGTCCCGATGCGCACACTACTTTGTGTGTGCCCTCCAAGAGTGGAGTCTCTGTTTCCCGCAGTCCTGTCAGAGTCCTGCAATCAAATCCCGCTAGCCTTCAAAGTCTGATTCTCTAGGAATTCCTCCTCCTGTGCTGGACCCCCAGGTTCAGAGGCCTGACCTGGGGCTCAGAACCTTCACTCCAGTGGGTGGACTTCTGTGGTATAAGTGTTCTCCAGTTTGTGAGTCACCCACCCAGCAGTTATGGGATTTGATTTTACTGTGATTGTGCCCCTCCTACCATCTCACTGTGGCTTCTCCTTTGTCTTTGGATGTGGGGTATCTTTTTTGGTGAGTTCCAGTGTCTTCCTGTCCTTGATTGTTCAGCAGTTAGTTGTGATTCTGGTGTTCTCGCAAGAGGGAGTGATAGCATGTCCTTCTACTGCGCCATCTTGGTTCAGGCTCTGTTCTTTGTTGTACAAGTATTGTAGCCAGCTTCTAAAGTGGTCCCAGTGATTCTCACGTGATAGTCACTCCCTTATACCTATAAATTGTACCTAATTAACTAGATGCTCTAGCTGAAATGATTTCCTGGTGGAGTGTTAATGTGCTTCCTGCCTTCCCCTTGATGATTATAGTAAAATGTGAAAGGTGAAGTGACAGGTAGAATAGTAAACACAAGGGGTCACAGGAATTGCTGGTTTTGGGAATTATCAGTCTCTTTATGTTAATAAATGATTAATTTTTTTCTGGAAAAAATCAGGAGAATTGAGAAATGGGTTTTTGGCAGAGATCAAATTCAGAGCGCTTGCAGGAAAACAAGATGGTCTAAAGATGAAGCTGAGGGTGTGGTTGTACAATCGCTTAAGATCTTAGAAAGATACAAAGTGGTGTCTTGGAAATCTGTCTGGTCTAGCAATAGGGCTTCTAAGAAGCTTAAGTGTGGTGTCTCAGTCATCTCAGCAGATGAAGAGAAGGGCTTGTCTTGAAGGAATTTGTGGTTGTGGCTTTTGTCTAAGGGAGTGAAGTCCAATAAGATTCACAGAAGACATATGGTATTTTTGAGGGAATTGTATTTGCAGAAACTTTGAGGGCATCATATCTGCAGAAACTTTGTAAACTTAGACTGAAAGGGAAAGAGGATTACAAAATAAAAAGACCTTTAGTCCTCCAAACTTCTTCAGCCAGGAAGCAGACTGAGAAAGGTACACATCTGCAAACACAAGCTACTTTCCAAGGAAATGGAAAGATAATTTTTAAGGCGGAGCCAAGTGTCCGGAGAGTGAAGCAGAAAACCATGAAGGAGGTGTTCCCTGGCCTTCAATCCTAATGAAGGACCTGCCAACCTATGCTTTGCAGGACTTCAGAATTTCTGTGGATCAGTGACCTTTCATTTCTGCACACATTGAACTGGAGTGTGTCTGTTGGTTACCCTACACCTGTCCCACCATTGTATGTTGGGTGTATGGGGCAGGTAACTTGTTGCTTCAGTTCACTGGCACTCAAGTTGAGAGAGCTATTCAAGGGCTGTTTCTAAGGCACCACACCTGAGGAGCCTACTGCTCCTCAGATTGAATGCCTTCCATTGAGCTGTTCAACTTTTGACTTAAGTTCCTTTAACCTTTGACCTCTGTTCAAAATGAATAAAATGAATCATGGATGGCAGCTTTCAGCTAGGTAGTTCACGCTGCCTTTTACTGATAGTACGTACACTAGACTAACATCCTACCGCTACAAACAGGTTTTTTTTAAATGTCCCTGAGCTCCCTAACAGCATTGTTTTTCTCTGCCATACATTTGCTTCCCCTTTCCCTAAGTCCTCTCACGCACCAAGAACCCAAACTGTTGAATTTAGCCTCTTCACCTTACTTCATTTCCCTTTCGATCATTCCCTCCCACGTTGCCATCGCAGCCTGCCTTTTCTTCCTGTGGAGATGAGCTTCCCAGCATGGGAAAAGGGTAACTGCCTCTCTCCACGTGGCAGAGAGGACCCTCGCGGCCACCTGTTAGGGAGTGGGGTGAGGTTTCAGGGGCCCTGAGCGGCTCACCCCTCAGATGTGGCGTTGCCAGCAGGTGTGAGGGGACCAGCCTGTGCTGGCATGTGAGGAGGCCATTCTCTTGCCTGAGAACCTAACAACGTGGATGGTGAAGAGTCTCATGGCATCTGCACAAGCTCAAGCCCATAAAGGATTTTCTTTTTTGAAGTGGAGTGAAGATAGAAGCTCCAGCTAATTTTGCTCACCCAGTGTGTCTCTACTATTGTCAGTGTTGGTGCAGCTGTTTACGTGAATGAAAAGCCTTGGTTTGTGAATGGAGGATTTGCGTTTTGAAATTAGATAGGAGGGCAACCTAGATTTTCATGCTGTGGAGGCACTTCCTGAGGCAGGTGCAGGGCATGAGTAATGACCACACCTCAACTCTGCGGCTCAGCCAGTGATCACTGGGCTTCTCCTGGGTCCTACAGTGTGGTTTCCCTGTCTGTCAGGAGCCGGGTAAGCAACCAAACCCAGATTCCAGGTGTGGTATTCCACAGTCGTTCTGTAATTTGTAATCATAGAAACAGAATGTTCCTCCTCTTCTTTCTTCCCTGCCAACAGTTTCTGGGTGGGTGAATGTCAGTAGCTGGAGTTATTTTTAAAGAGGAGAGGTGAGGCTTGTCGTGCAAAGCTGGGAAGAGGGCGTTTGTTTGCAGAGCAGAGCTGACATCCAAGTGTAGATTACTGCTCAGTGGCCAGGCACTTGTCCTATAACAGGTAATGTTTAACGTGTCAGTCACAAAGATCACAGGAACAGCATATGCCTGGCATAAGAGAGCACTGCCGTTTATGCTCTGGAAAACTGAAAGGCTATACGTGCACATGTATTAATATTATTTTTTTTTACATACATGAGTGGCTTGGTCTTGCTTCCTCCTTTTTTGCTGGCTGTAATTGGACTTTGAAGCTTGGAAGTTATATCATAAAAATTGGTAACCTTTGTCTGAGAGAGAGCTCGGCTAAGCAATCACTTTCCACTTCTTTTCACAGGATAATATAAACGTTTTTTTGAAAGCTTGTGAACAGATTGGATTGAAAGAAGCCCAGCTTTTCCATCCTGGGGATCTACAGGATTTATCAAATCGAGTCACTGTCAAGTAAGTTTTACTGGTTTGTTACATGTTTTTTTAAACTTAGGGCTTGTGGCTTAAGTGTAAATAATTTCTGAGAGCTCTGATTACAGGAAAATTGTCCCTCCGTCTTCCTCTGTTTGCAGTCCAAAACAGACCATTTAAGAAATAGTTTAGGGATTGTGAGTGTGAAGCTGTCTGTAACTGAGACCATGGTATCTTATTATTTTAGATTCCTGTATTAGCCAAAATGGTGGTTTATATTTTAATGCTTGTCCAACATCATAGTGTTTGGTTGCTAATGGTGAGGATGCTCATTATATTTATAAAGAAAATGGAGAAGGTTATATTTTAGCTTACAGAGTAAAAATTATTTGAAATTAAGACATGATTGCTAACATAAAAATGAGAGTGGGACAGTGATAAAAGAGACTTAATATTTGGAAAGCAGCGGTGCTTGGGACCAACATGTACCGCTAATGACTTTTGTCAACTGGCTGATTTCTAAAAATGAACTGTTTTTCACTCTTTTAATAGTATGGATGAGAAAGTGAAAGTGGGTGTGTGTGTGTGAAAACATGTGCACAGGTGTTTGTGTTGTGTTTTAGATGGAAAATGCTGTTTGTGTTTGAGTATATGGTTTCAGGAAATCTGGTTTTAAACTCTTGTAAGATTTTTCTCTTATAAATCTAAATTTGCTTTCAGTGAATCAGAATAAACTCATGTTACCAGCTCAGTGTGACAGGAAAATGATTTAATTTTGTAATAATGACTTCCTCCTTATCATGGCTCTTAAACATAATTAGCATTTTTCCATTGGAAAAAAATAAACACCTTATTCTATCTATAGAAATAATAGAAATGAAAAAATTAGCTTTTACCAATTCAAAGACTAAGTTTGAAGAGTTGATATCTCTGTTGTAATAGCTTTAAAGTCATTAAAAAATGACTGTAAAATCTTAAATATGGTCAAGATTTTTTTCTAAAGAAGAATAACCCTGTCTATAAATATTTTTTATAGTAAACATTGTCTTTAGCCATATAACCTAAAAACCTGGGTAGGATTAATCTTTTAAAAGCAATGATATATTTTTAAATGAACAAGCCATTTCATATCTATATGCTTCTAGTTCTGTTGAACAAGCATTTCTAAACGACGCAGCAGTGATATGTGCATAGCAGGGATGGGTCTGTTAGCATTTCTGATTAATTGGAAGATTGTTGAGAGATGCTAAGTTTCATCACCAAAATGGCATGTTTACTTCTGCAGTGTTCGAGGTCATGTTTAATTTCCATGAAAAATAACTATGGATGAATTTATTTTTCCTAATCAACATTCTCTCATACGACCTATCTGATGGGCAAAGAAATTTTTAACTTTCAAAGTGTTTTTCTTCAGTTGTTGCTGTCTATTAAGAAGAAATGTCTTTTCCCCTTAAAATCATACTGTTTTGAAACTCTGTAGCCGACGTTCGAGGAGGCTATGAACTTAATAAAACATGTTTGTTGGCTTCTAATAACAAGAGTGCCCTGAGTGAAACTTGCCTGGAGCCTGTTTCATGAGACACTGGGTCTAAAGTGTTCAGGAAAAATCAGTATCTGGCCTCAGCCTTCAATGAAATTAAGTTAGTGACAAAGCGAAACCGGGAGGTCACGTAGTTAACAGCCGTAGTAGGAAGTATGCAGAACAACTTGTTTCAGTGGAAACCACAAGTCCATAAAAGCAAGATGTGTCCAAGCGGTCCTAGTGAGAACATCTGCATGAGGACCTCGACACTCTTAATTAAGAGCATCGCCCCGACAGCTCCGTCTTATTGGACCAAAGAGCACAGGGGTCGATCGTGGGACTGCTGCAAAGGAAGTGGAGGGTGGAGAGTGAGAAAGCTGGCAGACAGCTTCTTTAAATGGTTGGCCAGAGCTCCTCTGCCCTGAGATAGCATTTTTTTAAAAAAATATTTATTTATTTATTTATTTATTTATTTTTGGCTGTGTTGGGTCTTCATTGCTGTGCACAGGCTTTCTCTAGTTGTGGCAAGCAGGGGCTACTCTTCGTTACGGTGCGCAGGCTTCTTATTGCGGTGGTTTCTCTTGTTGCGGAGCACGGGCTGTAGAGCGCGGGCTTCAGTAGTTGTGGCACGCGGGCTTCAGTAGTTGTGGCACGTGGGCTTCAGTAGTTGTGGCTCGCGGGCTCTAGAGTGCAGGCTCAGTAGTTGTGGCGCAGGGGCTTAAGTTGCTCCGCGGCATGTGGGATCTTCCCGGACCAGGGCTCGAACCCATGTCCCCTCCATTGGCGGGCAGATTCTTAACCACTGCGCCACAGGGAAGCCCTGAGATAGCATTTTTATAGAAGGAAGGGAAAATGTGAAGGAAAGCAAATAATTCCTTACGAAATAGTAATGCATTTCTCTTTAGTTTCAGTTCTTATGCAACGTGGAGGCTTCTGTAGGTCAAAGATCTTGTCCTATATTTATTGTAGATTAAAAGCCTTGGTGTTGGTTAGACCGGTGGTTCTCAACTGGGGGCATTTGGCTGGAGATACTTTTGATTGTTATAGCTGGGATGGGGGTGCTACCGCCATCCTGGGGGTCAGGGATGCTGCTAAATACCCTTCAGTTCAGAAGGGTATTTAGTGGCCTCCGTAACAAAGAATTTCTGATCGCAAATATCAGTAGTGCTGAGGTTGAGAGGCCTTGACTTCAAATTTTTAGATTTCCACTCTGCCAGCAAGATAATTGTGTGGAAGGGAGGATACTGACATAAACTTTCAGCTGAAGTGTGACGTTTTACTTACTAATATAATAACATGTATTTCTGTGTTAGTATGTTTGTTCATTTTACGGAAAGGCTCATTGTATTTGGAGCGTGCAGTAAGGTGTGAGTACTTGGACATTACCGTGCCCATCCATGTACATTAAAATTAGCAAAAGTAAAAAAAAAAAAAAAAAAAAGAAAGGAAAAAAAAAACAGCTCAGGGGTCTTCCCTGGTGGCACAGTGGTTGAGAGTCCACCTGCCGATGCAGGGGACATGGGTTTGTGCCCCGGTCCAGGAAGATCCCACATGCCGCGGAGCGGCTGGGCCTGTGAGCCATGGCCGCGGAGCCTGCGTGGCCGGAGCCTGTGCTCCGCAATGGGAGAGGCCACAACAGTGAGAGGCCCGCTTACCGGAAAAAAAAAAAAATTAGCAGAAGTGTGGCAAATGATTTATTATTTTAAATGCTCTATCAAAATTCAATCCCTAAGATACTGCATTTACAGTTCACAGACCTGTTGTTGGTCTTCCTGCACATGTAATCTAAGATACACGTTTGCAGAACATCCTGAGAGCAAAGAACTACATGTTGGCAAATGTGAGGTATTTTTTTTGTTAGTGGACAACAGTCCACTATCTATGTTATTAAAAGCATAGATGACACACAGAGCCTAGGAGAGTTGTGTGTGGTGAGAATGAGTGGCAAGAGCAGAAGCAATTAATATAAAGACCCACTGCTGTTGAATCACTTCACTAATCCAGACCCTAAGTACAAATCTTATTTTCCAGTAGTTTGAGATTTACCATTTACTTTGTAACAATTTTCGCTAGTCAAACAAGCTAGGGTACTCTTTATATTTCTGTAATTATACATATTAATTTTCTAACTGAATTATTTTATTTGAAGGAAGTAATAGTTTGAACTTTTCCAAATATGTTTGAATTATTCCACTTATTTTGGGACTACATATATGCAAAAGTCAGTTGATACTTTTAATTTTGACATTCCTGACTTTGATGGACAGGGTGTATCTTTACTCCTTTTCTTCCCGAAAGGGTAGTAAGCAAACTGGGGACTTAGCCTCCATGAATGGTAGATTGAGATTGAACCTATCCTAGATGAGATGTTTACTGAGGCCATGAAATTTAGCTTCTGCACCAATGATTAACTGCATCGTATTATTAACCATTTACCAAATATCCATACTGAGCTTAGAAACACACACAATCTGCAGAGAAGAGGGGGTGTGACTCCCACAGGGCCATCTCTGCACACTTTCTCTAAAAGGCCTGTGGGAGAGCAACCACAGCACACTGCAGAGCTCCTACAGCAAGCGTCATGGTCTTTGGTGGCATCTGGTCATTAAGAGGCACAGAACAATGACTCATGGAAAGCAACTCAACAGAGCAGCCCAGACGTCCTGTATTGGAGGATTGAAGTTGACAGAAAGGTAGAGTTGAACATTAAAGGTTTTAATTTTGTGTCTAGCATTTTGACTCAGACTAAGTCCTTCATTTAAACCATTGCTCTAAACCAAATTATATATTGAAATTTTTAAGCTGAGAATTTGAACAGATTATAAACATGTTTTTTCTTTCCACCCCCTTACCATTCCAGTCCAGTTTTTCGCACTTCCTTAGATACATTCTGTTCATAATACAATTATAGGATGGCGATGCTTTTGAACACAATATTTGTCATGCAAAGAAAAAGTATTTTTTAGTGTACACTTACTCTTTTGTTATTTACGATATTAATATTTTAGTTCTAAAATGTGACTTGAAATATTATTGACTGAGTTTTTTTAGAAGGTCTGTTTATCAAATGGAGGGTGGAGAAATCAAGAATCTGTTATTTTTACATGTACTAGTTACCAAAGGAACAGTAGTTGGAAGCGAAATTAATGTTCACGTATTTCCCTTGTGAAAATAAAGGAGGCTCAAAATGATATTTTAAGGATTTAGCTGATCTCTAAAGCTTCAAAAGGTGCTTGATTTTGCAGCAATACTGTAAAGTCATGTCTTAGGAATTAAGTTCCCAGATGGCTCTCTTTTACAGTCTGCCAAATTTGACTTGAGATATGAATGTGTTTGTGTATTTTTTTAAGGTTGTTATTCATGTAAGTAAAAATATACCTACTTTGAATTGTATAATTTTCAACTTTCTCTCATTTAAACCTGATTTTACTACTTTTTTTTCCCCAGATGTGTCTTTCAAATGAGTTTCTCAATGTCTTAATCTGTTTAAAAAAAACGAAAAGGAAAAAAGCAACCTTAA